TTCAAAATGGACTGTTTGTAATTTCAATAGCCTTTTATGTTACTTTGTATTTGATTCAAGTTTGGGTTTACTTTTGCATTTGAAATCAACTTGTGAGTCATTTTTGCCAATTTTCCCTAACTTAAATTTTCAAATGTTAGTTACTAATTTTTTAGATAATTAGTTTTACTCTAATGCTGATCAAAAGATCCATTATTACCAGTCATTTTATACATATACAATGTTGATTTTAAAACAAACCAAACTCATCAATTTGCATAAAATTCTTAATGCTAATTTAAAAATTTAAGTAACTAATTTTTAGATAATGTTATTCTATTCCAAAATTTACAAATTTTTATTTTTGGATTTTTTATATATTTAATGGTAAATACATAATTTTTATTATATATATATTTTATTTTCTATATTTTCAATTTCTACATATAAAGTGTTGATTTTTTAAAAAACATTCTACTCATATATTTGCATAAATTTTAAAATGCTGAAGTTGCAAATTTAAGTTACTAATTTTTTGATAAAGGTATTTTATTTTTATTTTTTCCTTTTTTGACTTTTAAAATTTTTAGTGGTAAAACACCTCAATTATGTTTAGTTAGTGTAAAAACTCATAAACTACAGATTTACCGGTACTAGTGGTTATTTTGACATGCACTGTAGACATATGGTTAATTCATTAAATAAAGTTAGTTTGGGGATTTTCCGTTAAATACTTAGTTTGAGGGTTTTTATCCAAAACAAACATAGTTGAGGGGTTTTAACGTTAAAAATCCTATTAAAATCTATTCTATTAAAACAGGAGTACAAAACAATACTTATCTATTTTTAAGTGATTTTTCTGCAGATTTTCATTCCATTTTTAATACTTCTATTCACTTCATTTATTTTATTTTCTAAATAATCGTTTCGTTTATTGTTTTTTTCTGGAAATAATCACTTGGTTTATTGTAGTTACTTCATTTATTATCTTGCATGAATATCAAATTTATATGGGTTGGGTTTTGATGTATGAAAATTTTAAAATATCCCAAAAAAAACTAATGTATCCGAGATATGTTCGGATATGTGTACCAAAAAATAATCATTTTAACCGATTCGATTCAGGTATTTTGAATCCAAACTAAAAATAACTGGATAACCAAAAGTAACCATATTACTCGGTTTGAATCAGATTCAGTTCTGATGTATATGACTTAAAAATATACCATTAATTATATGTTGATATATATAAAATATATAACTTTAATTATAAAAAAATATATTAATTTATAAAAATGTAAAATTTAATATCAACAGATGTGCGGATTAATCTCTAATAACCAATTTAAAAACTACAAACAATCAACCTCTGAATGTTAGCCAAAATTTATATGTACAACAAGCAATAACTCGTTTGTTCCGATCAATGCTATTAAAAAGAACGAAATCCTAAAAAATCTACTTATAAAAAGTTGTAGGACCTATTCACTAGCCATATCTTATGTTACCTTAACTAATTACTCTGCTTAATTTGGTTAATATTTTATATTTATACCAAACTAAGATTTCACTTATTACATAATAATATCTCACGTGCCTATCATTATACACTCAGACATTTTTACATCTAACATACTCTTTTACACCTCTCAATATTCCGAGTACATTATTATTCAATTCGTACGCAAGAAATTAGATGGTACTTAATTCATTTACGTGAATAACTTTGAAATGAACAATTATAGATACTATATTACACCTATTAAAAGTACCATAAAGTGATAAAATAGAATAGCATCTCTGTATTTTTACAACTTAGAATAAAGATATTATTACGTTAAGTTATAGGTGGTATTTATTTCTTAAATTTCTATATATTACATTAAATTAATATTATAAATAATATATATATATAATAAAAAATTGTTACTTAGCATAAGTTTAAAAATTATGAAAAACTATTCAAATTTTTAGAAATTAATACTATTAATTTAACTAAAAACAATGAAAGAGTAGTCTTAGGTGTTTGGATCTACTTCTTTCCGAGTAAGAGTCCATTGACTCCTAAAAATTTTCAAAATCTTAGGTTTGGATTTGGGTCGGTTCCTTTGGATCCAAGTCGGTTCCTTTGGATCCAAGTCGGTTCAAATCTATAATTTAAATATTTATAAACTACCTGTAAATTTCAGATACGTGGTGATTTTGGATTTGTCCTGGTATTTAGAATTAGAAAAAGAGCTAAAATATCCAAAAATGTGAAAATATCTAAAACCCAAAAATATACAAAAATACAAGAAAATATACCCTAAATCTTATCCGAAAAACAAAAAAAAAAATACCCAAATTTTATCTCAGTACGAAAAATATATTTTTTAAAAAAATCTGAAATTTTACTTGAAACCTGAAACAATAACCAAAAACCCGAGGCTAAAACTTAAAACAATATACAGAAAACATATTTGAAACAGTAAAATCTACTTAATATATACAAAACCTTTCAGGTATTGATGGTACCTGATGAGGTCACAGTAGGATCCGGATTCAGACCGAGGCTGTGTGACTTAAAAAGATATCTAATATGAACATTTCTCTGGATTATGATCCGAACTGAAGCTGTATTTTTTTGGTCGATTTCGATTCTATTTTTTGGAACTGGATAAAATGTCCAAATCTAAGAGAGAGAGTTATATAAGAACATATATACAAATTTTTCAATAAATTAATTCATAATTTTAAAAGTCTTACACAAGTTTCATGTTTAGATATAATACGATTTAATAATATAATAATGTACTACAATTTCAAAATACTATTATATCAAATTTTTGTTTCATAAAAACTCGCATTTTTCAAGCACCTGTCAAAATCTAGTGGGGTTTTAAAACATCAACCATTCTCACTCTCACGACGTCGTTTCCTCAGAAATTTGGTTTATTTCTTCGATGTCATTTTCTCGTAAATTTTGTTTATTTTTTCTTCAATACGCAATTTCAATTTTCCTTTGATAACCTGATGGATTCGTCTTCAATCTTCATTACTGTCTGCTTTGTAATCTCTATAGGATTATTTTAAGTCTGAGGAACAGTTTCAGACAGTCACGCGTTTGTCACCGCCGTCATGAATGGTGAGGATGATTGATCCAATTCGAAAAAGAAACTGCATACGAATAGTTTGATTTACCCCCACGACATAAAGATGAGCCAATGAGAGCGATACGTGATTTTAACAAAGTCCTTTCTCCCAAGTCTCCCACGAAATTTAGTAACATGAACCTAATGATGAGTCTAAGAGCATCCCCATTAGAAGATGTAAATAGAGGTTCACACAGTTTCTAAGAAAAAAAATTATATAATTTGTTTTTTATGAACATGTATCACTCGAGCTTGTTGGGATGAACCTGTATCAACACTATTCGCAGAGTTCAGTGATATGTGGCAATCTGCGATTAGTTGGTTTATTAATTTTTTCTAAAGAAAATCATACGAAAAAATTATAATTAGGGCTGGGAAAAAATCTGGATCCGAAAAACCGAACCGAACCCGATCCAAAAAGTAGTATTGAATCCGAACCAAAATTTATTCAATGTCCGAATGGACTCAAAATTTTGGTATTTAAACAACTGAACCCGACCCGAACCGAAGTATTTCGGGTATCCGAATATATCCGAAAGAGATTTATATACCTATATATATTAATTATTTTAGGTTTAATGTATATCAAAACATTCAATATATATAAAATACTTTGAAATTGTTAAAAATACTTGTAAATATATGTAAATAGTCAAAATTTCTAAAGTACACTCAAAACATCAAAAATACTTAAAAAATTATTGATTCACAATTCAAATATTCACCTCAAACTAATTTATATGTGAATTTTAGGTATTTTGACTTATGTAATTCAATTATTTGTAATATATTATTTTGTTTAAAATTTTATAATCAATTTTAAAATTTTAAAAAATAATTTAAATGAGTTATCCGAAACCCAAACCGAACCGAACCCACAAAGATCCGTACCAAACCCGAACTGGAATTTAGAAATATCTGAATGGGACTAAAATTTGTGAACCCGAAAAACCGAATCCAAATGGGTACCCAAATGTCTATCCCTAATTATAATAATCAAAAGTGGATTTTGGAAATCGAAATTTGGGGAGTTCGCCAATAAGGATGCTCTAAGAATCAGTTTAAAAAGATTTAGTCCAATGAAACCAGGTTCCACTATTGGACAAGCTCAGTATATATAACCTCGCATCACTCAACCGGGTTCTCTAAAGAACATGGTGAGGTCGGAGGTCACTATTTACCAGATCCAAAGTCCCACCGCTTATTGCCTCCACTAGGATTAAAATTTATGAACCCGAAAACCTGAATCCAAATGGGTACCCAAATGTCTATCCCTAATTATAATAATCAAAAGCGGATTTTGGAAATCGAAATTTGGGGAGTTCGCCAATAAGGATGCTCTAAGAATCAGTTTAAAAAGATTTAGTCCAATGAAACCAGGTTCCACTACTGGACAAGCTCAGTATATATAACCTCGCATCACTCAACCGGGTTCTCTAAAGAACATGGTGAGGTCGGAGGTCACTATTTACCAGATCCAAAGTCCCACCGCTTATTGCCTCCAATAGGATTAAAATTTGTGAACCCGAAAACCTGAATCCAAATGGATACCCAAATGTCTATCCCTAATTATAATAATCAAAAGTGGATTTTGGGAATCGAAATTTGGGGAGTTCGCCAATAAGGATGCTCTAAGAATCAGTTTAAAAAGATTTAGTCCAATGAAACCAGGTTCCACTACTGGACAAGCTCAGTATATATAACCTCGCATCACTCAACCCGGTTCTCTAAAGAACATGGTGAGGTCGGAGGTCACTATTTACCAGATCCAAAGTCCCACCACTTATTGCCTCCACTAGGATCACAAGCCCACGTTATTAAGCTCGACGCACCCTTATCGTGAACTACACATATATACAGCAAAGAACATTTTCTTTCTACCGATGTGGGGTTTGGTAATTTAAACATTACAAACAACATCTCACAACAAACGACGCCGTTTCTCAAAAATTTTGTTTTATTAACACGCGATTTCAGCTTGGCTTTGATAACCTGATGGTTTCGTCTTCATTACTGCCTAAGACATCGTAATAATTTCAGTCAGTTATGCGTTTGGGAATGAAACTTACACGAAGACAACCTCGAATTTAGCACAAGGGTTGTGTTGAATGTGAGTACGTAGACTCGAGTTCCCCTCGAATTTGAACTTGTACAAAGCTTGTCTCTGCGTGAGGCCAAGCGGGTAAATCCTGTGTACTCTAAGCTCGTTGCCTCCTTTTAAGCTTGAAGGCCTTTCCTTCTTCCACACCGGCTCATGTTTTAAAGACTTGAACTTGGTTACAACCGCATATTCAAGAGCTTCTAGACTCAGATGTTCACCCCTAGGGATTGGATAAGAACGGTCAATACATTGCACATCATGTGCTTGATTAAGTCGAAGTAGAACTTTCATTACCTCAGAAAGATTGACTCCATTTTAAACATGCCTCTCTCTCTTACAAAAACATGATAAACTGTGTCTGAACCTCCCCTGGTACACTTGCAAGGTCGTTTCCTGAAACTAGGGCTTTTCTCTTCTTGTTCTTGGATCCTTGTGGCTAAGAATATGCAGAGACGACAAGAAGAATGCACAGCAGCCATATCAACAAGTGCCTTGAACGAATCTGAAGGACCTTCGTACTTCCATCTAAATCAAAACAGATGCATGAAGCTTTTCAAGAAGAAGTTATTACACACATTCACACTCACTGGCGAGATAAAGAACAGACCTTAGTGTCTGATTATAAGCAGCAGAGTTTGCTGCGAGATACTTCATCTTCTTTGCAACTGGCTCAACATCTTCCATACTCTTAATGTGAAAGAATGAGTCTGAAGCTGGTGCAAATTCTTCTATATTTGGAGCACCAACAACCACAGGTACAGATCCTGAGAGGAAACGTTTAACAAATAGCTTAGTTTATATAACGCTCTTAGGCTTGGTTCAGATAATTCGGAATTCTAAGTAGTTCGATCAAAATCTCACCGAACTGAACCAAACTTTTCGGTTTAATTCCGTACTCGAGTAGTTCGGTTTTTTAAATTTTTACTGAAACTAACCAAAGTTTTTGGTTTTGACTATATTTCAGTTAAAGAATGTAGTTAAATTCGGATAATTTTGGTTAGTTTGGTTAATTCGGATAATTTTGGTTAGTTTGGTTAATTCGATTAGTTCGTTCGAATTTGGTTAACAATTTTTGTTTTTGAAAACAAAGTTAACCGATTACAGATCCAAAAACCAAAGTATTTTTTATAAACAAGCCGAACTAAACCGAACTAACCGGAAATTTCAATTCAGTTCAAACCGCAGGCCTAAACGCTCCAATCATATACTTATGGAAGCTAAAACATACCAGCAACTAGAGATTGGAAGAACTTCTCAGTGACATAATCCTCCTCGTTAGTGTTCTCAAAAGCCAAACTAAACTTGTAACGGTTAAGAGCTTCAACCTTATCAACTACACATGAACATTGTAAAAACAAATCACATCAGATCTTTCAAGTTGAACAATTAGCCTAAATCTCTACACATACCTGCTCCATCCCGGTTCCGATGACAACCGCCATAAGAATCAATCTTGATCCTAGTCTTCATCAGGGCTTCAAGTGCTTTCAGTCGAAAATTGGGAGCACCACAGTTAGAAATAAAAGCAGCAGCAATAGCCTTCTCGGTCTTGGGCTGAACCGGAGCCATTATATCATACTCAGCCCATGAAAAATACCCAACAGGAACATCTGATGAAAGACTAGTAGTCATCACAATATCATAACCATTCCTGATGAAACGAACAAGAACATATAAAAAAAAAAGGTCAGTACTTTTATAACATCTTCTACCAAAAAAAAAAAAAAATTGTCCTGAAGAAAGTGCTTACCCACCGTCGTGCCTGTGAGATATCATTTTCAGGATAGTACTGAGCTGATTCCATGGAACGGAGTATAGCGAGAGTCCCAGGTTGATGTCCTAATCCAAACGCAGCATCTGGTGCTCTACCTGAGCTATCTTCAAATGTACAGTCTATGGGACATGATTGAAAGTCCTAACATTTGAGAGACAAAATTAATTCAAACTACTTGAAACATGTGTTTGGTCTTTGTTGACACAATCTCTTGACAGAGGTTTTACCTTTTGACCACCGGAGATAAAGATTGGATCTTTACTGAAATCTCTAGAGTACGTCACTGAGTCTTGTTTAGTCAACCACTCTTCACAGCTCTCCGACATCAATTCGATGTTCTTGTCGAATCTACTCGGCGGAGACTGGGTGAAGAAATCGGTCAACGTGTTGACTAAAGTGACTTTATCGAGACGACCCAGAAAGCAGATCTCGGCGATGACTACTAGAGCCACGCAGATTGGTAACAAATTCGATAGTTTTCGTTTGATAGATGAAGCGGGAGTAGAAGAAGAAGAGGAAGATGCATTTGCTACCGGCAAGTCGTCGTGGGTAGCTCCGATTCTGGGTCCTCGGAGATTCGAGAAAACACCCATGAAAACGAGAGGACCAAATCTCTGTGAGGAGAAAGAAAGAAGAGAAAAGTAGTTTCTTTGAGGTTTCAAGGAAGGGACAGTACGTCTGGTTTAAAAGTTGTTTTGATTTAGATAAAAACTAAAATGTTGAGAAAAGTGAATTGATAATGGAAAATTGCACTATATTATACAAAAAAATAAACGAATTAACTAACTAACCAAATTTCTCTTTTTTTTTCTCTCTCAAAATCTATATTTCTTTGTCTATGTCTATTTCACAAATAAGACCACTAATACTATATGTTTTAATATTTCAGGCTTTGTTTTATTTTATATACTCTTTCTCTAGTTTAGTAGTTTCTGTAACTATAAATTCTTATATATTGATAAAGAAGATTACGTCCTCATATATGTATATATATATCAAAAGTTTCGAAAAAGAGGTTAACGAAATTACTGCACTTTCTATAAATCAGGGATAAAATATTCAGCCCATGACATTAAAAAGATACGTGTATCAATGCGATGATATATCATATTCCCTTCAAGATGGATGAGCTTTGATTACTCTGGTCTTGTGACATAATTCTAGATAACGGCTGCGTAGAAGGGATTTAGTGAGAGCATCAGTCAGATGATCTTTGGTATTGACATGAACGATCCGGAATATGCCTTGTTGTATCTGGCCTCTGATAAAATGGTAGTCCAAAGCGACATGTCTCATTCTAGAGTGAAAAGTGGGGTTTGCACAAAGAAACATAGCTCTAAAATTGTCGCAATAGATGGTTGGAGGAATAGGGACTTGTATGCCAAGCTCTGTTAAGAGATTACAGATCCATTGTACTTCTGAAGATGCATTCGCAACAGCCTTATATTCTTCCTCAGTCGATGATCTCGCCACACCGTTCTGCTTTTTATAGGGCCAAGATATGGGGTTCTTGCCTGAGTAGATAATGTATGCATTTGTAGACACAAAGTTATCACTGTCTCGTACCCAGTCAGCATCGGAGAAACCATGAATAGAGCACTTGTTGTTTGAGTGGAAGAAGATACCGTGAGTAGTATTTCCTGCAAGATACCGTAATAGACATTTTGCGGCTTGCCAGTGGTCCTCTGTTGGACAATGCATGTATTGTGAGAGTCTGTTGACAGTAAACGCAATGTTTAAACGAGTGAACTGTAAGTATTATAGACTGCCAACCAACTGTCTATATGGTGTGGGATCAGACATTGTTGAGCCTCCTTGTAGAGTGAGCTTGGGTGATGTTGCCATAGGAGTCAAGACATGTTTGACGTCTATCATATTGTACTGATGTAAGAGATCAAGAATATACTTGTGTTGTGATAGATGAATGCCTTTGTGCGTACAGTGTGCTTCGATGCCGAAGAAGTAATTCAAGTCCTCTGCATCTTTTACTGAAAATCGGTCTACAAGGAGAGTGAGAATGCGCTTGATCGTTTCATTGTTGTTGTCAGTTATCAGTATGTCATCGACGTACACTAGAAGACAGACAACATCTTGACATTGGTGCAAGTCAAACATCGAAGCATCGGCTAGGCTGTTTTTGAAACCAAGTTGCAGGAGAAATTTTTTAAGCTCTAAGCACGCTCTTGGCGCTTGTTTGAGTCCGTAGATGGCATTGCGGAGGCGGCAAACGTGATCCGGATGGTGTTTTCGATGTAACCGTGCGGTTATTCCATATAAACCACCTCATCAAGTGTTCTTTGTAGAAATGCGTATATCAAGTTGCTTGATTTGCCAGGAGCAGAAAACTGCAATGTTGAGCACCGTTCTAATAGTTGAAGACTTGATTACTGGAGTGAACGTAGCTGTGTAATCTCTCCCGTATTGTTGATTGTAACATTTGGCTACAAGCCTTGATTTATACTTGCCAAGGGAACCATCAGGTAACAATTTGTTTTTACAAAACCACCTACAACCAACGACATTGTGGGTAATTAGTCTTGGAACAAGCTCCATCGTCTAATTCTATGCAAAAGCATCAAGCTCATGAGACATATAGCCACGTCATACTTTATTTCTTAAGACCTGGTTCACCGTTCTAGGCTTAGGGGGTATGTGGGTGGATAGGGCGGCGGAAAGAGTGAACTTGGTTTGAGGTTTTACGATGTTGTTTTTCCGGCGTGTTTGCATTGAATGGTTATTTATGGTTTCCTGGTTTTGTGTTTCCGTTTGAGATGCAGAGGGTAAGCTTGTTGGGTTTATGTTTGGGTATTTGTTAATGGGTTTGGTTGGGCTGGTGAAGTTTGAGTTAGGTTTAGGTTAGGGTGTGGGCTTGAATTTGAATTGGGTTGGCTTGGGATGTTTCAGTTTGGGCTTGTGAAATTTTTGTTGGGCCTGGCAAGAGAGAGAGTTTTGGGTTTGTGTATCACTTACAGCGATTTCTCCTTGTTGCACTGACGATGACGGAACTAACGATGGTGGTCCCTGCTGCGGCTGCAATGACGAGCTGATGAGTTGCACGACGACAGGAATAGACGTTGAGGGGCTCGAAATTTGTTGTTCTTGATAGAGGTTTGAGTTGGGTGAAGTGGGTTTGAAAGGAAGACTTGTTCATCGAATTGAACATGACGACTTACAAAGATACGACCTGAAGTTGGTTGGAAACATAAGTAGGCACTTTGGCTGATGAAGTAGCCTAGTAGAGCACAAGAGTTGATCAATTCTCTATTTTGTTGGTGTTTTAAGGTCTCATCCATGAGAAGCAAATACATCCAAAGGTCTGAAGCTTCAAGTAGTTAGGCTGCTTTCCAAATAGCTTTGAGAATGGAGATTCCATGGATTACTAGAGTAAGGAGTCAATTTATTAAGTAGACGGTAGTGGCGAAGGCATAAGTCCAATAGGATTTGGGAATTCATGCGTGTGTCAGTAGAGTAAGTCCCATCTCAACCATGTGCCTATGTTTTCGTTCGGACACTCCACTGTGCTCCAGTGTGTGTGGATGCGAAGTCATGTGTGAGATGCCACTGGTGGAAAGAGACGATCACATAGCAACAAACTCTCATTCATTATCTGAGTATAAGGTACCCACTTTGGTTTGAAACTGGTTTTCTACTAGAACTTTGAAGGAATTAATATATCTTTGACTTGTGATTTGGTTTTTATTGGGTAGAACCAGGTGTATCTTGTGAAGTGATCAACACAGAATTATGTAGTATTTGTAGTCATCAACTGAAATTTTTGGGGAAGTCCAAATATCTGTAAAGATATATTGGAGGGGACGAGAAGAGGAAACACTATGTTGAAGAATGGGTAATTTATATGTTTTATTGATAGGACAATCTGAGCATAAAGTTGCTTTAGAAATAGAAGGCAACAAAGGTAAAGAACAACTTGAAACAATGGATTTGAGGATAGAAGTAGATGGGTGGCTTAGGCAGTAGTGCCAATCTTCTAGGTTTGGTTTTGATGGTGAAGAAGCAAAGAAAGAGGTTATGGTTGAAGAAGTCAGCCACTCATACACATCTCCTCTAGTTTTGCCTTGGAGCAATGGGACCCCCGATGTGAGATCTTTCACCTGAAACTGAGCAGGGAAAAATTCAACTAAAACATGATTAGTGTTAAACAAGCAGTATATAAAGACTAGTTTTTTATGGATATTAGGAACTCCTAAGACATTTTTAAGGTTCAAAGGACGGGTGGGAAAGGAAAGGGATCGTGAACCAGTGTGAGTGATTTGAAGTCCATTACTGTCACCTATGATGACTGCATCATCTCCATGATATGGCTGGTGAAGGGACAGACTGTTGAGGTCACTGGTGAGATGATGTGTGTCCTCACTGTCCATGATCAAATTATTAGCATCTTGTTGAGAGCTCATTGCTATGTTTGCACGAGGTTGCCACGGAGAAGCAGAGGAGTCTTCGTGGTGATTGTTGTTCTGTGTATTGTAGTTAGCTAATTGATTGAATTTCCTTGCACTATGACCGTGTGTACCACAGAACTGGCACTTCCCTTCATAACCTTTGGAGAATCGAGTGTCTTTCTGGTTGTTGGAACGAAAGTTGTTGTTGCCTCTGTTCCAGTTTTGATTGGAATGATGATAAGTTTGTTGTGGCTGTGACTGGCGGCCATGTTGTTGTGCAGTAGCTGTGTAAGTTGTGATTGGTAGAACAGGCATCATAGGGTTCGCAATAAGGAGTTTTGCTTCTTTGTTTAAGAGCTTCTCATGGATCTCAATGACAGGTGGAGAGACATCACAGCCTTCAAGCTGGTCGACGGTCGATTTATACTCTTCTGGTAATCCTCCGAGTATGTACTCCACTTGATCTTCATGTTCAATCGGCTTTCCTAAGAGAGTGAGTTGATCAAACCTTGTTTTGTACCCTTGTACATATTCATCGATTGTTTTGGTTCATTTGGACCATTGTTTGATCTGGAGTCTCAGATGTTGGATGTGACCCCTTCTAGGTTTGGCGTAGGTGTTGGCTAGGGTCTTCCAGATGTCTACAGCGGTGTGAGACGTAGAGGTAAGAGGTTGAATATAGAATGATATGGCTCCAATCAGTTCGCTGAATATTAGCTTGTCTTGACGCTTCTAAAGTGTGTACGCTGGATTTTTTGTTTGTGTGCCGTCAATATAGATTGTGGTTGTGGGGTGTGGTGTTGTACCATCCAAGTGACCACCGAATTATACCCATCCAAGAAAGCATGAACTTGTAAGCTCCACATCATGTAGTTTGCACCGGTTAGCTTTGTGACATTAGACATGTTCACATTGAGCAATGTTTGAGAGGTGGTGTCAATTTTTTATGGGGAAGAAGTGGACATGATGAGAATTGGACGCTGCTGAGTTTAGAAAAATGAAAGATGAGCAGCGAGAAAAAAAAGAGAGACATGTCTGAATTAGGTTTAATCAACCTGCTTTGATACCATGTAACTGTAAGTTCTTTTATACTGATAAAGAAGCTTACATCCTCATATATATACATCAAGAGTCTTGGGGAAGAGGTTAGCGTAGTTACTGCACTTTCTATGAACTAGGAATGAGATATTCGGTCTACGATATTGAGGAGATATGTGTATCAATACGATAGTATACCAACAATTTCAAGGTAT